CTGGCACCAACCCCGCAGGGTCCTGGCTGGAGGGTCTTGCAGGGGCCAGGGGAAAGGCACCATCAGTCCTGGCCCCCAGATGCGGCCGCCCCGCTGCGATCGGGCCGCCGTCCCCACTTAGGACTGGGCCTGTGCCATGGCGATCTGGACCGCTCCCGTCGCCTGCAGCCCCTGGCTGGGCACTCACTGCTCCCCTGCCCGCGCAGGTGTTTTTCCGGGCAGGGACCCTGGCCCGGCTGGAGGAGCAGCGTGACGAGCAGACGAGCAGGAACATCGCCCTGTTCCAGGCGGCCTGCCGTGGCTTCCTGGCTCGCCAGCACTTCAAGAAGAGAAAGGTACCGAGCGCCCCCCGCACCCCTCCTCCCCCCGCACCGTTTCCATCCCGCCGGCAGCTGCATGACTTAGCCTAAAATGGGCAACTCGGCTTCCCCGGCTCCCCCACCCCCGCCAGCCCTGCCGGCCGGCCTCCCTGCCTCCCAGCCGGGCACTCGCTCTCCCCTGCCCTCGGAGGTAAGGCCTGGGGGGGTCCCAGCAGCCCCACGTTGCTGGGGGGGTGCAGCCGCGTCCCCCCCGGCACGGCCAGGGGCCCATGCCATTGTTCCCTGGAGACTCAGGAGCTGTGTCAGCGCCTGACGGAGCTCGTGGAGCAGCCAGGGCCGGGCTCATGTTTCAGCAAGATTAGCTTTTATGGCCGAGGCAGCCCGGCATAATCGACCGGCAGATAAAAGAGGCCAAATTACAGCTAATGGGGTGGCAGCGGGCGGAGCTGGGGTGCCATGGGTCTCGCTGTCCCTGGGCCCCGATCCTGCAGGCACCCGCAGGACCCCGGGCAGCCTGAGTCTCGTGCTGACCACCCTCTGGTCCTGGAGGCCCCCTGGCCCCCGTGGGTAGTGGGGGGCTGCTCCCAGCCCCAGCAGGGCAGCCCTGACCCCCGCGCGCCCCCGGCAGATCCAGGACCTGGCGATCCGCTGCGTGCAGAAGAACATCAAGAAAAACAAGGGCGTGAAGGGCTGGCCCTGGTGGAAGCTCTTCACCACCGTGCGGCCCCTCATCGAGGTGCAGCTCACCGAGGACCAGATCCGGGGCAAGGACGTGCGTAGGCTCCCGCGCCGCGCTCGGGTTGGGGGTGGCAGGTGCTGCGGGGGGGCAGCGAGGCCCTGCTTCGCCCCCTGTGAAGTCTGCCTGGCGGGGGTCCGACCGGGCCCCCCCTTGCGTGGGCCGGGGCAGGCCTCCTGCTGGGGCGAGCGCCTGCGGGGCCGGCTCCATGTGCAGGGGCAGGCCTGGAGTCAGGTGCCTTGTGCTGTGAGCACAGGCGCGTGTGCGCGCGTGCACGAGTGTGTGTTGCAGGGGGTCCCCTGGTGTGCGCGCGTGTGTGCGTGCAGGGCTGCGTTGCAGGGGGTTTCCTGCTCTCTGTGTGTG